ACAAAATATTTCTTGTGTAAATACACAAGGACACGAAACTTTTTAGGTATGTACTTAGTCTTAAATAATTTTATATGCCTATAAATCCACTAATAAGTTGTATATCGATACACGAAAAAATTATGAACTGGAACTCATTTAAAATAACAGTTGTACACTCATTATTTATATATGTTCACTTTGCCAATGGATTTGGGCTGCGTTTTTAACGTATGGCATGCAACACATTTATTTTTTTAATGTACTTACTGTTGCAATAGTTGTATCCATGACAATATAATAGTGAAGTTACGTAAACCGTATCAGTTCGTTGACTTGGTACATCGATACGCTTCACAAAGAAATGACGGCTAATGGTTATCTTTCTCCATTTGTTGTTTACTAAAATATTATTTAGAAAAATTTCTCTTCTGTTTTTCCAGTATCGATCTGCTGATATAATCCTCTTAGGTATTTGGTTGTATAATTATTATTATTAAGAAAAAAAAAATACTTCTATTATGCCTTAAATATTTGCCATCTATAATAAGCATGAAGTTATAAGTAGGTCTGGGTCTATTTCGAATTTTACCAAACCTATCTCAAAATTCAGATTATGACTTTTTTTTTTATAAAAATTATACTATGAACAAGGATCATAAGCAAAAAAAAAACTTCAAAGATTAATTTGTAGTCTTTCTATGTTTCATAAGTCCTATAAGATCTATATTGTGTATATACTGTGTCATTTGATATAGAGTCTTAACTCTTCACATAAATAAGGCCCTAATTGTTTAACAAAATTATCTAAACCTAAATTATTTTCCACGTTCCTGTATGATAATAAAATTGAAATAATAGTTGGAAAATTATCTATAATAATCATTGCGTAAGAGATATACTTGATTGAGAAAATTTTATTTGATTTTATTAACTAATATTAGCTAAAGAAATAGAAAAAAATAGTTCAATAATTAATTTAATTAAATGTAACACAAATATTAGTAAATATAAAGAAATCTAAATTCTGAATCAATTTACACACGTGCTGTTATTATTTAACAAACCATTACAATCTTTCTAACAGAAAGAGTAATAATTTTTTAGTGGTTAAATTAACGAGCATAAAATTAAAAAAGAGAATTGTAGAAACTATAATCTTTTAATCTTATATTTGTATCAAATGTAGAATTACAATGACTAATAATAAAAGTATTACATTATGTTGTTGTTTATATTATTATATATGTAATCATATATTACAAAACAATATAATTATTATATATATACATATATATATATATATATATTATAATTATCGTACTCATTGTTTTAGTTGCAAAATAAAATAATTAATTAATTAGATTTTTATGCCAATATTACAAAATATTTTAATGAATAATATTGGTTATATTTTTTTAGTTATAATATTATATCTTCTTAAATATCAGTTAATGATGTTGTAATAATTAGCTGAGGAAGTATTGAATTATGTCGATTTTAGTATGATATAAGCTTTACAATAGTAGTAAGCAATTTTTGAACTCTTAAGCAATATAATAATTCCATATAAAAGGGAAATGCAGGGTAAGCAAATTAATAATGATGGGAAAAGAATGTAAAAGGGAAACATGAAAAGTATAGGTGGACTGGACGAGACTGGACATTTTGTTGAAGAAACGTCGAGTTACGTGGACGCGAGTGTCTTTGTACGATTTAATTTTGTTTTGTGTTACTTTTTGATATTACCTTTTTGACTTTGTGTTTGATACGTTTCTTAAATAAAATAGCTATTTAAAAACTTGGACTTAGCGCAAATATTTTATATTCACCGTGTTCTTAGAATTGTGTGTGTGTGTGCGCCTAGAGTCAAGGTTGGACTACTGATCCTTTAGTCAATCTTAATAATTAGTGTACGAGCTGGCTAGTTTTTGGGCTTAACCGTCCTTTAGTGGGTATAGTAAAAAGGTAGTTGTGCTGGTGGCTGACAAGGAGCCACCCTTCAGTCTGCTACTTTTGAGCTAGACTGTGCTGACGGGTCTAAACTCTACCCCTTTAGTAGTTCACTAATTAGAGGCATTGAGGCTGATCAGTTTATCCAACGGGAGGACTCGAGAAGAGCTTGAACGACGAACTCATCGTCAACATATATATATATATATATATATAACATTAATTAATTTGTGTAAAACTTTTGTGTCTACGTTGGGGTACTACCGACGTACGACAATGTCTTAAAGCTTCTTATGGTATTGTTATTAATTGGTACAAATCTGGATGTTTTCCTATTACTGAGAATAGTATTACATAATTTAAATTTCATATAAGTTTTGTTGAACTTCTAAGGTGGGTAAATAAACGTATTTATCATCGCAAAATTGAAACATATCAATTGGCGTTAATATTTGGTTAGAACTAACTCGTTGCAAACTACATTGTGTTACTTTTCGTTTTGTAATTCCACCAACTCCATCGCTGACGTTTTTTTCGTGACGCGAAGTAAAAAAATGGCATTCTACATAAAAAAAAAAGTCATCAATATGATAATACTGATTAATAAAGTTTTTTTTTTTGTATTCGCTCGAACGACCGTCACTAAAATAATAAAATTTTTTTACAAATAGAGCTATTAATTTAAGGTCTTGTTTAAGGCGATTTTGTAATTTATGAGTCTTAATATGAGATTTAAATTGTGTAAAACTATTCTCGGTACTAGGTAAAAACCCAGATTTGTACCAATTAATAAGAATAAGCAATAAGCTTTAAGATATCCCAAACTGATATTATGAAGATATAATATTCTAACTACTATAATAAAACTAATATTATTCATTAAAAGATTTTGTATTATTGTCATAATAATCTAATTAATTATTTTATTATTTTGCAAATAAATTAATACAATATTTACAATATATATAATAACTATATTGTTTTGTAATATAAAATTACACATATAATAATATAAAAAACAATTACAAAAACATGGCTTGAAAACTACAAAAAACTTGCATTAAGTTATTTGAGATTTCTATCAAATTGAACGACCGTGAGGCGTTTACTGACAAATTTACGTCTATTATTAACAGTCAATAAAACTCTATTTCAATGAAAAATAACATAGAACACACAGTACAATACAAATGCAATTACATTCTAAAATTTTCAATGTGTATAGATATTTTACTCTTTTTGTTAGTATGTTTAAATACGCATGTACAATGAATGTATGTAAACTGTCTGTACTAAGTAGGACAATTGAAAAGTCCAATGGTATCCTTTCATTCTTATAAGAATTAAAATACCTTTTGAATATAAGATTAGATATTTTTATTCTATAAAATAGAGTATTCTATAAAATATATTCTATAAAATAGAGTAAAAATGTTCATAATGTGTTCAAATAGTAAAACTTTTTCGTAAAAATATGTAAGCTATTTAATTATTTTTATTCGTCTTAAAATTTAAAAATAATTTGAAAATGATTAAATCAAAATTTATCCAGTATAAAATTAATATTTACTGCAAATCAAACATTTTGATAAATTTAATCTAATTAAAATTAACTCGTTGTTTAGATGTTATAATCCTCGCAAATAAAATCCTTTGTTATGATTGTTGTTGTACTGAGATTTTTTTCAATAGAAGGAACGGGGCTAATGTAAAAATTTCTTTTATGATTATTTATGGATTAGTTCTTTTAGTCCACTGATACAGGTGATATTAAAATAGTGCAAACTTAATCGATTTTGCTAATTTTTTCCAACAAAAAAGCTAGTTCTAAATTAATGAAATTTTAGATGAAACATTTTTTTTTAGTCTGAGAACGTAACAAAAAAGTTAAAATAGTTTTAAATTTTCCCCTTAAAATAAAAGTTTTTTGGTATAAAACATGTAATTTTCATACATTTTATACGTGTAAGGCAATTTTTATAACATTCTTGTAATTACACAAGTCTGTACGATTCTTCAACATTTTTCAAATTTCATAGAGAAAAAAAAAATATATATATATATATATATACTTGATGAAAGTCAGATTGTAAATATTTTATTTTAGTCATCAGAAAACGTAGGTGGTTTCAAAGTTTATACACTCACTAATTGGTCAGTAAGGGTAATTTTAGCATTTCTAAATGAAAAAAAACGCATTGATTAAAAAATAAATAATTTTATTATTTTGGTTTTATTTAAAATTAAAAATATATATTAAAATAAAAAAATATTAAAAATACTTAATTTAAAAAGTCATAAGAGTATTCTGAGTAAAAAATATTTTTTTAGTAATGGTTTTAATTAGACCACAAATAAGATATTATCTTAGTGAGTTAGGCAAATAAGTGAGATTATGTTTTTACATATTATGTACTGAACAAATTTCCAAGCTTATTTTAAATATAATGTGTAACATTATAAAATGGTTAATTTTTACGTATGTTATCGTATAAGTTATATTTTCATAGAAAAATAGAAATTAAAATTTAAGTATATTAACACTACAAGTATCTACACATTATTTTTACATTCTATTCTATAAATTTTGCTACTTAAGGATATGTTGTCTAAATAGCTATAGTTTATGACAGTGGTTTTAACATATGTGCGCCAATCATGTGCTCTGTTATCACCATGTAGGCGACTTGTTTATCATGAATCCCAGCTCTACATTAGTAGAAACTTTTACTAGGTGGGTAATACAACAGTAATGGCCTTGGAGGCCTTAAATTTATTTAACTCTATAGTTAATAGTTTCTAATTTTACCTGTGTATGTATCGTGTGCACCTCTTAAAGTATCACAAGAAACCATAAAAGGTTCGCTCTAGTTGAACACCCTAATTTTATCTAAAGGGAAACAATGGAAAAAAGGTTATATGATATGCTCTATGTATTTATTTAAATTAGTTAAATTGATAATTTTTTTAGAAAAAATCTATAAAATTCAATTTTTAGTTATATTAATTAAAACTTTTCTGAATAATTTATTTATACAAAAATAGTATATTTTGAATTTATTTTTTAGAATGGAACAGGTGGTTTGGGTTCCAGACCCTAAAGAGGGTTTTGCCTTGGCTACAATAGTGGATTTAGGTATGGATGAAGTTACTGTACAGCTTATGGGAACATCTAGAACACGTCATACACTACCATTAGACAGAGTTTATACTGCAGATCCTCATTTTGACAGCAAAGATGTTGATGATAATTGTAAGTTTTTTAATTTTTATTATAGATTTTAATACTTGTATTTCTTAAATTTAACTCTTCAGGTTCATTAATGCATTTAAATGAAGCAACTCTATTGAACAATGTTAAAATACGATATTCAAAAGATAAAATTTATGTGAGTTATTAAAGAATAAAATACCCTTAGTAATTTTTTTAATAATTTATATATTTATAGACTTATGTTGCAAATATTTTGATCTCTATAAATCCTTATATAGAAATTAAGAATCTTTACTCTAATGAAGTTATGCAAAAATATAAAGGAAAATCTCTTGGTGTCTTACCACCTCACATTTTTGCTATTGGTATTTAATCTTTATTTAATTTTTTACAATGCTCAAATATTTATATAAATTTTTACATTTTAAAGCTGACAAGTCATTTCGTGACATGAAAGTATTAAAACAGTCTCAATCTGTTATTGTGTCTGGTGAATCTGGAGCTGGAAAAACAGAATCTACTAAACATTTGTTACGTTATTTATGTTATCAATGGGGTTCTACAAATGGGCCAGCTGCTGATCAAAAGATTTTGGATGGTAAATAAAAAAATATTTTATTCATGATAAGTTATTGTTAAAATTTACCTTATTTATTTACTAGCAAATCCTGTATTGGAAGCATTTGGAAATGCTAAAACTACACGCAATAACAATTCATCACGTTTTGGAAAATTTATGGAAGTGCATTTTGATAATTCATGTTCTGTAGTTGGAGGATATATTAGCCATTATTTATTAGAGAAATCTAGAGTTTGTATACAAAGTTCTGAAGAACGTAATTACCATGTTTTTTATTTACTTTGTGCTGGAGCTTCAACAGAAATACGTACCAAATTATCACTTGCAAATCCAGATTCTTTTAATGTATGTGTATATATATATATATATATATATAATTTTTTGTATTTATTGAACTTATAAGACCATCTCATCATACAACCAAGCTTCCATCCTTCTCTGTCCGATGATAAATTTCTCCAATTGGAAACATCTCCATCTGTTTAACATTCTTTTTATGACATCTTTCCAGCACATTTGTGGTTTTCTCAAGTCTTTTCCCTAAAAAGTTTTATTTTATCAGTACAAATTTTGGTATGTATATATACATACATGTATATTTTGTTATTTTATTTAAAACCTATTAATTATATTAGAACTTAATAAAATGTAATAGTTAATTTTTATTAATAGTATTATTAATTTTCAGTATTTAAAGAAAGGTTGTACTCAGTATTTTACCAATAGTCAAACTAGTAATAAACTAGATAATAGTCAAAGAAGTCAGTTACAAAATAAATTAGGGGGCATAAGAGATCCTATGTTAGATGATGTTAAGGGTTTTTCAACTATGGATGAGGTAAAAATGTTCTGTTTTATCATTTTTTTGAAATTAATCTTTGATTGTTTTGTAGGCCTTGAGTAGATTAGGTTTATCAACTAAAGAAAGATGTGATATTTATACTATAGTAGCAGCTGTTTTACACCTAGGAAATATTGAGTTTGAAGAAAATTTAGAGAGTACTAAAGGTGGATGCAAAGTAACTGATAAAACAGAAAAAAGTTTATCTATAGTTGCTGATTTATTATCTGTTAATGTTGATGAACTTCGTCAAGCTTTGATTACAAAAGTAATGATGACTAATCGAGGTGGCCTTAAAGGAACTGTAATTATGTTAGTGTTATAGTTATTACATTTATTGATTTTATAACATAATAATAATTTCTTGATAATTATTAGGGTACCCTTGAAACAATACGAAGCAAACAATGCCAGGGATGCCTTAGCAAAGGCTATTTATGGAAAATTGTTTGACCATATTGTAAATAGAATTAATTTGAGTATTCCATCTAAAGCATCAAATTACTATATAGGAGTTTTGGACATAGCTGGTTTTGGTAAGTTATTTAAAATATAATTAAAAATTATTAAATTAATTTATATTACAATATTTTAGAATATTTCACCATTAATAGTTTTGAACAATTTTGCATTAATTATTGTAATGAAAAACTTCAACAATTTTTCAATGAAAGAATTTTGAAAGAAGAGCAAATGTTATATGAACGTGAAGGTTTAGCAGTGAAAAAAATAGAATTTGTTGACAACCAAGATTGTATAGGTAAAGTATTAATAACAGAACCTACCAATTATTTTTAGATTCTAAACATTTTTGTTCAAAATATTCTTGCATAATAATATTTTAAATATATTTTTTAATTATTTTCTATTTTTATTTAGATTTAATTGAATCAAAAAATGGTGGCATATTTAATTTATTAGACGAAGAGTCAAAATTACCAAAACAAAGTAGTGAACATTTTACTACAGAAGTGCACAAATGTTGGCAAGGCCATTTCAGATTAGCTTTAGCTAGAACTTCTAAACTGAAGGCTCACCGAGAAATACGTGATGATGAAGGTTTCATGGTTAGACATTTTGCAGGAGCTGTTTGTTATCAAACAGTAAGTATTTTACGTATTTATATTATCTCATTTAATAATAATTTTATTTCATTATTTTTAGGGGCAATTTATTGATAAAAACAATGATGCTCTTCATGCTAATTTAGAAGGTCTTGTTCAAGAGAGTAACAATCCGTTTTTACAGAGTTTATTTGCATCTAGTACATTGGGAAATACTAAAGGAAAATTAAACTTCATAAGTGTAGGATCAAAATTCAAGAGTCAGTTGGCAGAGCTTATGGAAAAATTGAAAAACACAGTAAATTAAAAGTTTAATTTATTTAATAAAAAAATATTTTAATTTTTTTAAATTACAGGGCACAAACTTTGTTCGTTGTATTAAGCCAAATGATAAAATGATTGATCACATGATAGATGGAGGTTCTATATTATCCCAATTACAATGTTCTGGTATGACCAGTGTATTAGAACTTATGCAACAAGGATTTCCATCTCGTGCTCCTTTTCAACAGTTGTACGACATGTATAGGCAAAGATTACCTCCTAAGCTTGTTAAACTTGATCCTAGAATATTTTCTAAGGTTTGTAATTTTAAAAACTTCCTAGTACAATTATAATAACTTCATTAAATTTAGCTATTATATTTAGGCATTATTTAGAGCAGTTGGTGTTAATGAAGGGGATTACAAATTTGGTGTGTCTAAAGTCTTCTTTCGTCCTGGTAAATTTGCTGAATTTGATGCTATAATGCATTCTGATCCAGAAAACTTAAAACAAATGATTGATAAAGTACAAAAATATCTAACAACATTGCATTGGAAACAGTCACAATGGTGTACATTAGCTGTTATTAAACGTAAGAGTAGTTTTTACTTTGACATTTTTAAAAAAAGTACAATGATTAAACTTAATTTATATTTTTTATTCATAGTTAAAAATAAAATATTATACCGCCGAGAAAATTTAATTACAATTCAGAAAAATGTCCGTATGCATTTATCTAAAATAAAGCATCGTCCAAGATATAATGGCATAAAAAATATTAATAGCCTAAAAGTAACTAGAATGTTTTTTTTTTTATAAACTTAAATGTTAACATTTTTTTTAAATATTTTAGACTATGCTAAATGAAATGGAGACTTTAGCAAACCAGCTGAAAAATGATAATGCAATTTACTTATCTGATACAAAAAAGTTAAGATTAGAACTTGATAATGCTATACGAAAAATTAAAGTATCTAAAATTGATCAACGTATACAGTTAATTTGTGTAACTAATAGTTCTTTTTATTTAGCATAATGAAAATATAAAATCTTCCGATATTAGTGAAACATATAATAATCTGGTAAAAGCAGCTAATGAACAAATGGAAAATTTAAGGAGAAAAGCTGATGCTGAAAGAAGCGCTGAAGCTGAAAAACAAAGGTTAATGAAATTACAAAAAGAAATGGAAAGAGTCAAGGCATCTAAAGAAAAAGAAGAAAAATCTAAAATTGAAGATGAAAAAATTAGGCAGAAGTATGTAAATTTAGGATTTTTGATAATAATTTATTTATTTAATGGTATTGAATTTTGTTTTTAATGTATTAGAAAAATTGAAATTGAACTAAGACGTAAAAAAGAAGAAGAAATGCATAAGAATGATATATTTCTTAGTCCAGTAATTATTATAGTTTTCTTTCATGATTTAAGTTTTTTAAAAAATTTAATACTTTTAAAATTTTTACTACAAAATAGGAAGACTTGGAGAAAGCAGCATTGGCAGAAACTAAATTTAGAGAGCAAATTGAGCAAGAACGGCGAGATCATGAATTAGCTTTAAGATTAGCTCAAGAAACAAATAGTTTTGTTGAAGATATATCTAATACATATTCAAAGTAATAAAATTATATATTATAGTTGTATATTTATGTATGTACAGTGTTATCCGTGTATCATAAATCACACGCAGAATATAACTGATTTTTAAATTTTTTTGGTAACTTTTAGTTACACATTGTTCTTAAATTATTAACTATGTAATACTTAAAAGAAAAAAATGTATCATAAAGATACAAAAAAAAAAAAAATTTAATATTATTTTTATTTATTGATTAATTAAGTAGTTTATGATAAATTAATACTCTGTATATATATATATGTTTTTTCTTTTTGTTTAGGAAAACATCACCTGTCGAGCAAACTTCTAGCAAGTATGATTTATCTAAATGGAAATATTCAGAACTGAGAGATACTATAAATACTTCCTGTGATATTGAATTGCTAGAAGTAGAATTTTTTTCATTTTAATTTTTATATTTATTTTTAAGCCAGTTAAATATAAACTTTTTTCTACCAAAAATATAATTAGATAGTTTTTGTGAGAGGTAGTAAAAAATAGTAATTTTTAAGGAAACTAAAAAAGTATTTTATATTTTTAACTGGTTGTTATTAAAATAACAATAATATAATAATTTAACTATCTCTGAGAACAACATTGATATTATTAAAAGCTGTGCAAAATTTCCATTAGAATTAAAAAATAATTTGAATATAACAAAATTTGACTAAAATTGATTGTACATCAATTTTACATTAATTGTAGTAAAATCATTTGAAAAATGTTTTTGATGATTTCTTAAGTTCAAAAAAAAGATCCATTTAACAGGTTTAAAAATTAAAAAATTTATATAAATTTGTATTAATAAATTTTCTTTCGAAATAATCATTTGATAGGCTTGTAGAGTTGAATTTCATCGTCGTCTTAAAGTATACCATGCTTGGAAAGCAAAGAATAAAAAACGTTCTTACATGGATGAAAATGAAAGAGTCCCTCGTTCTATAATGGACACTGGTTTGTATTAGATTGTTTAATCTTTGTTGTTGAAATATAAAATAAAATATACACTTTTTTCAGCTAACCAGTCCAAGAGTATTAAACAGGTACAAAATATTAAGTCACAATCTATAGTACCATTAAGTAGTCAACGCTATTTTCGAATTCCATTTGTAAGATCAAATACTTCTACTAGTCAAAGTTCAGGAAGTGTTGACCACCACCGTGGTTGGTGGTATGCTCATTTTGATGGCCAATATGTAGCTAGACAAATGGAATTACATCCTGATAAACCAGCAATTTTACTGAATGCAGGTAAATTATAATAATTATCGATAATAATACTTAAAAAAAAAACCCAGCACAGTGAGAACATGGCATAGTTGGGTCTAGTATAGATGATATTTGACAGTGATTAAAATCACTATCATAAGAAACACTTCAATGCAAATCTGTAGATAATGTTTAATTTTAAAAAATTGGTGGATTAATTTAAAAGCTACTCAATCTTCTATTTCCTTATTTATATTCTGATTATAAGTTTTATGATTTTTAAGTGTAATATATGAATATAATATATAAAGGGAAAGGGCCCGAATAAAAAAAAAAAAATTTGTTGCATAAAAAAAGAATATAAATAGTACTTATCTTAAAAAAATTATAATGGTCCATACATTTTTCAAAAAGTTATAGCATTATAAAATTAAAAATATAAAAAATAATTTTTTTACAAAAATCGTAATTTCTTATTAATTTTGATATCTATTTTCATCATGAAAACAAAATAAAGTCCGAATTTTTTTTTTCCATAATAAATTATATTACATAAGCTTTAATTTAAAATATATATAAAAATGTCAGTATTTCTGGAACACTTAAAAGTTAAGTTTACATTTTTTTATTAATTTTTTGTGAAAAAGTTGTCATTTTGAATCCCCTCCTGTGGGTAGGTAAAGGGTAAGATTTATAAAAAAAATATATCAAATGATAGGTAAAGACATGCATTTACAAAAAGAAATATTGTATTGATTTGGTCATTTTTGATAAAGTTATGGCAGTTTTAAGTGAAAAAATTGAAATAATTTCGAAAAATAGCGATTTTTAAATTTGTAATTTTATTGTAGATTTCTCACATTTACGGGAAATGAAGGAAATTTTTTTATTTTTTGAGGGTAATATCTTCGACTAGAGTTGATTTGTAATCTTTTGATTTGCTGTTGAAATAAATCAGTTCGGTCTGATCTGAGTCACAAATAATCAGACACAACAAAAAAAAATTAAAAAAAAAATGCTTTATATTTGTAATAAAAAGTCATTAAAATATATAAAAATTATTGAAGCAACTAAGCTTAGCTTTTCCCCCAAAAAAATCAGAAAATTATATTTCAGAGGCTTAGTATGTAAGAGATATAAAGTGAAATCTATTAATGATTGTAATAATAATTGAATTGAAAAATATTTGCATAATATGTTACAGGACAAGATGATATGCAAATGTGTGAATTGAGTCTTGATGAAACTGGACTGACTCGAAAAAGAGGTGCTGAAATATTAGAAAACGAATTTAACAAAGAATGGGAAAAAAATGGTGGAAAGCTTTATTCTAACAATAAAATCAAGAATTAATTATTTTATGAAATTATTTTCTTATACATTTTGCATTCCTAATATAATCCATAAATCTCATTAAAACATTCCATTCAATTATTTAATTTTTTGATAATTTTAATTTTATTATAGTGTTTTGTTCCTAGAACTACCTATTAGGATGGAATTATTATATGATTTAATATGTATTTTTTATTATTTCAATTCCTAGTTAAATATTTTCTGCATAGTTTTTGAGAACTTAATATATTGTTATGTTTAATTATTAATATTAATTTTACTAATTGTTTAACAATTAAATTATCAATTTTTAATTTAGTTTTTGTTGCACAAAATAATCTTTGATATTTTTCAAGTTATAAATGTACTGTGATAAAAGGATTTGGGAGTTTAAACTCATTTATTGTTGTTTTTATAATAATTTATTTTTGAGTCATTTTACCAAATACTTGAAATTTAACTTCAATTAAAAATATATGAAAATGTTATGATTGCAGTAAATAAATATTTGAATTATTATTTGTATTTTTTATTTTATACTTGACTGTGTATATTTTCCTATTACTCTATTCATATATCCTGAAATTAGCATTGTTCTTAACAATTTGTATTAATAATATTAAACGTTGGGTCTTTTACTAGTTAATAGTTATAATAAACTAGATATAAGTAACATAAAAAACCAAATCCAACATAGTGGGGTCGCCGGCATTAGAGGATATCGTCTAAGCCGTGGTTCGGACAAATATAAATATTTAACAGTGGTATTGAATACATAGATTTTCCATTATATTTTAAAATAAAATGTACTAAAAGAAAGCTTATTGTCTCTAGTTTACTTTGTCAAAATTTTAACTTTTGTTTAAGAAAAAAAAGTTATAGCACTTTTAAAATGCATAATTTTTTTGAAGTTACCGTTTTTTATGTAAACGTAATTTTAAGTTATATTTTTAAATTTCTAAAATTAATAGGTTTCTCCAAATTTCCGTTAACATTAGTTTCAACAAGATTAAAATCAGTTTCTTTTTCTGCATAAACTTATGGACAGACATGATTTAATTATTTCCATAACATTCGATTATTTATTTAGTCACTGGTGCCGATGTCAAACTTCATGTTTATTTCATAATAAAAAATTTTTACTGAGAAACCACTAACACCTCCTAATTTTTTGTTAATTACTATTTATTAATTTATCTTTTTCATGAAATTATGAACATTCATTAGTATAAAAATATCTCTATTTGTATAGAGATACATATCACCCATCTTATATATGTATTACGACTGAAATATATGTATATAGAGATCGGCGACACTGCATTTAGTTGTAACTGTATATTGTGAGAATGCTATTCATAATAAACGAATAATTATATATAAATATAATTGATATAATTGATATAAAATACAATTATTGTATTTAATAACTTGCATTAAATAAAGAAAAAATTGTAATTTATTTGTACACCAATACCCGTGTTTCCAGGTGTCCATAAAACAAGAGTGGTTGAAATGAGCAGTAGTATTTAAATATAATTGGACTCTTTTTATTTAATTTTATAATGTGATGAACGAAAAAAAGGGTATCAAATATTTTTATATGGTCGATTAAAAAACTCAGGAACGGGCAATTTACTTTTTTATTTTTTGCACAGGAGTTGTTTAACAGGTCAATCAATAATAACTTATCTTGAGAAATTAAATTAGAGCTCTCAATTCAATTGTTCGAATTATGCCTATTAAGTTACGGAAAGCTAAAGATGAAAATATAATTAATGACTACATATTTATTCAAATTTCGTTGATAGATATAAATTATTTTAGTTTCGTACTTGGCTACACTGACCGGTGATTTAATATTTATCAAATATTATCATTCTATTTGTAAATAATGATCAAAGTTACATGATTTTAAGCTTTAAGTAAAATTTTTCATCTTTAAAATTTAGTACGATTATTTAAATAATAAACACATATTTAAATATACTTATATTATAATTGTACATATTATTATAACAACTGCTAAGAAATATATTGCAGTGCTTAATTCTCTTACATTATTTAAAAACAAAGATGTTTTTTAACAAACTAACTAAAGAATTGACTTCTAGAAATTTGTATTTAATTTTATCTCGTTGTAAGCATGTCCAAGCAGCTCGTTATAAACGTTCTGTAAAAGGTAACAAACCTTTAACTTATGAAATGGCAGGCCCACCTCATACTATTGCTCATATCAAAAGTTGGAATTCATGGAATACAAGTAAAAATTATGTTTTATTTAATTTAAAAATATAATAATTGGGATCCTATTTTATTCCTATAAACAGTAAAGGATACTCTAATTGATATTGAATTTATCATCAATGTTTATTGAATTATATTCATTTTAAATATAAATATAAATTATAAGTGACAGTAGGTATAGATTTTTGTTTTTTTGTGTGTATTAACTAATAATTATTACTAATGTAAAAAATACTTCAAAAAAGTCTGTTAACTTTGACCGATATTTTAAACAAGTATTTATTAATAAAATTTTTAAAGTGTGTATAGGCCTAATTAGGGAGTCTAATACCGTGTTATTAATAATAGTGTTTAAAATACAGTATTTTTAAAATGTATAGTTTTTTTGAACTATTATTAATATTTTTAATACAATGTCAAATCAATGTATACTAAAAAAAAATAATTTTGTAGTGAATTTTTTTTTGTTTAAGAGCACTTTAAGAGAGTATTTTTTATTGTAAAGTATTTAGCATGTATTGATATTTTAAGTGTTATTAAAATTTTTCTTTTAGATTATTTTTATACTTTCAAGACATTTTAAACGTTTTTAAGGACATTTTTTATTATTTTTTAAAGAATTTAATTCTTAATAATATATGTTTTTTTAATAACTTGACTCATATTAAATCATTTTTGATCAGGTAATATGTTAGATGGTTTGAGACCAGCTGAAACAGCTATTGAAGATGAATTTATTCGACGGTTTATTAATGGTACTTGGCATGATTTGATTGCCTCTGAAATTATCATTAAACGTCAACATAACATTATAAGAATTGCTGCTATCGCTGTTCAAAAAATAAGTGTAACCAAAATGTATTTTTTAATTGGTTACACCGAAGAAATATTAAGCTATTGGTTACAATGTCCCATTAAATTAGAACTTCAAACTGTGGAAGATCGTGCTCATGTAGTTTTTAAATACATTTAATTCTGAAGTTTTGTTTATTTTTTTATTGCTGTTGTAACTAATGAGCAATTAATAAAATTATTGTATAAAGTAATATAGTACATTATTTTTATTATTAGTATAGTTGTTTACATTAAATGGTTTACTTATTGTTTTTAATAATACATAAAGAATATTGTTTTATTATTTTTTAAAGTAAATTTTAATATCCAATGGTCTATTATTTATAATATTGTAAGTCCTATAAAATTAAAAATGAGTCATTACCGTAATGACATATTTACTCTTACACTGTAAAATTAAACAAATGTAGTAGTTAGAGCAAAATTGGTGCTAGTTTATTTTTGAGTAAAATGATTTTGACCTTAAAATAGATGAACCTAGGGTCTAATAGTACACATAAAATTTAAATTTGTGTAATAGACTCGATTTAAAATTTGTTTAAATAAAACAAACACTAAATTAAAATTTATTATATTTGCTACTAAAAAACACTTGATATTAGTTAAAATATTAATTTATTTAATAGAAATGTCAAGTGGGATATTTGATAACTTTATTATATTTAAACAGTAAATCATTATTTTTGTAATAATAAATTCAATCTGACACAGTCCTTAAATTGAAGTCCCTGACGTATTTTTCGTCCTAAAATTTCGTGTGAAAATTGCTAACCAAAGTATGTGGTCGTTACGTCGAACGTCAGTTAGGTTAAGCATTAAAATGATGTTGTTAACTGTGTGAACAGTTGTGTCGTAATATGCCTAATGTTTTGCATTAAGCATCTTACATTTATCAATAAAACAATTTTAATCTATATTACTAGTATACAAACAAATAATTAATTTATCTGTCATAACATATACACTGTTGCACACTAGTTATTATGTATGTATATAAATGTAAAATTGATTATTGTATGCTATGCATCTTATCTTAAAAATAATTATCATGTTATGTTCAATTTAATACAATAAACAGAAAATCACTTAAAGTACTGACGACAACATCCCATAATGGGGGTAATTAAAAATAATATAAAAAGGCTTAGTTCTGCTTACATGTCCGTGAGCGAGCGTGCCAGCAAGCGGCTCTTCTCCACTTTTGAAGCTCTAAATTCAATATAGAATTCAGAATTCTTTTGTCCAGTTTATTCTTCTCAAACTAGCCGCGACCTCATGTGTTGTCGTCGGTACATTTTAAGACGATATTGAATATAATTACTTTTGCGTCGAGACTTCATTTATTTATATAAAAGAAACATTATACATTTTTACGCAAATCTCGACGATCTTGATACAAGCTATCTAAAAAGGTAAGTAATTTCATATTAACCCAATTATTTAGAATTAATAATCTGAGTAAAGAATGGTTAATCAATAGATTAATTTTAAAATTATTTGATTAATTAATAACTAGTTAGTGCTTGGTCATATGTTTCGACTGGGTGTCAGATAGGATGCCAAGACCCCGGTCACTACAAGAATTTAAGAATTTACAGCGTTTAATACCTCTATGAGAGGAACTTAATTCATTTCTCATTATATCTACTTGTCTTTACTGTTCTAAACCCTCGGACTCTACAATTTCGATAGAACCTCATTACTCACGAATTGACCAAATACCCAAATATTCAACCTTGGACAAAATACACCGATATCATCTAATCGCATAGTCGCCTTTTTAAAATTTATTTTTGAATTACTACAGTTGTGTCCGGTTATCAGCGGTGCTAGTACATAGGCGCCGGTCGATATTGTTATAATTCAAATAACAAAAATTAATAAAATAAAAGTAAATTATAAGATGGGGTTTTGGGTTTTTGTGTATAATGAGAACCTGATGTTGTGGTTCTATCGGGGTCGTATGGTTCGAGGGTTTAGAACGACAAAGACAAGTAGATATAAAAATATATGTTAAGTTCCTCTTATAGAGGTATAATAAACTTTTGTCTGATTAGTTTCTAATGCCCTAACTAAGAGGCAACGAGACGGCAGAGCCAGTCCACGAATATCAGAGCCTAATTTATACAGTAGAAATCACGCTAGGTTTTTTAAAACATCTTTAAGGCAACAAAACGGCAGAGCCAGTTCACGAATACCATATAACGTGATTATGTATAATTTCTTTAAAAAACCAGTCAAAATTGACACTTTAAGATATTAATTTAATAAATGATCTATTGCTTTGTTATCCTTTACTCAAACTTATTTACTCCAAATAATTGGGATAACATAAAATTACTTACTTCTTTTATTCTTGCAAATTGCTTGTAAAATGATTTGATAATTATCTCGATATGTTTATATATGTTTAAAAGTATTTAATTCGCACTTTGTCAAAAGATAAATAATTAAAACAACTTCTTTTCATATATAAATAAAACGCGTAAAAGTCAGCCGACAACAACACAGGGCTGTGACTGATAATTGTTACTTTTCTTATTCTTATTTCAATCCGGAGAAAACGAACTCTCTTGCTCGCTGTAACTCCTTCTTTTCTCCGTCTCTCACTAATCTTCACTCCTCTTATTGGAGTCTCTCCCTGACTGAAGTCTGAAAGGATTTCAGTGCTTTTTATAGTAAATTGATAGTACCCCCAATCTAGGGATATTGTTGTCAGCGCTTTTAGTGATCTTTTTAGTTTATTTTATTTATTATACATTACATGATAATTATATTGAGATAACATATTTAACAATTAATAAATTGATATATATATATATATATAAATAAATAATAAGAAATTGTGTTGACACATCGTATTTGTTATGACAGATAAATTATTTGTTTGTTTACAAGTTATTTAAAATACAAATTATACATTTTTCATTAATAATTGTAAGATGCGTAATACAAAGCATTGAGCATATTACGACAATATAGTCAACGTCAGTGTCGTACGTGCAGTAATATTTTGTTTGTCTATTTAGTGTGTCAGTGTTGTCAATTACGTTGCGAGAACAAAATTTTATTTTATTATGATGTGTCCATCATTTTTATTATGATAATAATGAAATAATTAATAGATATTGATGGATTGTTTGTTTTTGATAACCGCGTGTTGGTTATTTAGTTCCATTAGGAGTTATTATTATTTTTTATTTATATATGAAAAGTGTTTAATTTGTATAGTGTTTTATTCTATCAACACGGTGGAGCCGTTGAAGAACAACCAAACTTTGATGAGTCTATTAGAACTTCTTGTGAAGCAAACTAGTAGCAACCAAAATGTAGCAGCTAGTGAACTCGCGGTTGCCAGCTATCAAATTATGTCCGATCTTAACCAAATAGTTGAATCTTTCAATGGTGAAGAATATCAATGCGATCGGGCAATTGCATAAGTGGCTTCCCAATTTAAATTACAAATGTCACGATGTCAACTTGTCAGTGCTACAAGAGACTGGTTTTTGAACAGACTTAGTTATGTAAGGATTGGGAAAATGTTGAAACGTATTTAAAAAAAATGGTAGCACAGTGAGGTCGAGGCACAGTGTGGACGAGGCATAGATGGGACAAGTATAGATGATATCTGACAGTGATTAAAGTCACTATCATAAGAAACGCTTCGATGCAAATCTGTAGATAGTGTTTCATTTAGAGAAATTGGTAGATTATTTCAAAAGCAACATCAACTCTTATTTCTTTGATTATATCATAATTAGTAGTTCTTTGATTTTAAAATATAATATATGAATAAATACTAATTATAGTTTTTAAATTTAGTATGAAATTGNATAATATATGAATAAATACTAAATATAATTATTAAATTTAGTATGAAATTGATATTCGATAATTTAATATTGTAATTTAAACGGAGAAATTATAAAAATAATAAAGAAGTTATATTTTGCTTTACTTTTACGTGTATAAAAAAATAAAGGGCTTGATACAATATTTTTCAATAAAAACTGTTTGTTACTATAAATAAATGCACTGGACTACAAGAAACTTTCATCAGAAGCAAAAATATACTTTTCTAAATCAACTTTTCGCGTTGTTTTCAAATCTGCAATTAGACTTTTTCTATCAGTTCTAATTTTTTATACTAANTTAGACTTTTACTATCAGTTCTAATTTTTTATACTAATATTATTACTAATTACATATAAAATAATAATTAAAAGAAAAAAAATTACATAAAATAAGCTTTAATTTGATATATCTTTAAAGGACGCAGTATTTCCAGAACATTTTCAAAAATTAAGTTGAAAAAGTTAATTTTTGTAAAAAAGTTGCTATTATAAATCCCCTCAGTGAGCAGAATAAGTGTTAGATTTTCAAAAAAAATTATATCAAATAAAAGGGAAATATCTATGGTTTCAATACAAAAAAATATTATTTTTATTTGTTCATTTTTGAAAAAGTTATGGCAGTTTTAAGTACAAAAAACATCCCGATAAAAGATAATTTTTATCGCAAACATTTAATTTTTTTTTAATTTTCGACAGCCATTTGCACATAGAAGATAAGATGTCGGGACAAATTTTTTTTTTTCATTTGATAGTATATAACATAACCTTTGATTTGATATATGTTTAAAGGACGCAGTATTTCCGGAACATTTTCAAAAGTTCAGTTGAAAAAGATCTATGTTTTTTACAATATTTTAAGTTTTGAACGCCCCCTATATAAGGGGAAATTGTCCAATTTTAATAAAAAGTATGTCAAATGAAAGATGTACTTATAATGTATTTAGAAAAAAAAAATTTGTGCTGATATATACATTTTTCAAAAAGTTATAGCATTTTTAAGTTGAAAATTTAAAATCGAAAATCGAAAATTTTAACACAAAAATAGTGTTTTTTTAACTACGGCAGCCGTTTAAATGTAGAAAAAAAAGTGTCGGGACGAATTTTTTTTTTTGATTTTGTAGTATATAAAATAAGCTTTAATTTGATATATGTTTAAAGGACGCAGTCTTTCGGGAACATTTTCAAAAATTAAGTTGAAAAAATTAATTTTTGTAAAAATTTGCCATTATAAATCCCCCCCAATGAGCAGGTTAAGTGATAGATTTTCAAAAAAATGATATCAAATGAAAGGTAAATATCTAAGGTTTTAGTATAAAAAAAAATTATGTTGATTTGTAGATTTTTCAAAAAGTTATGGAAGTT